ACTAAGCATATGGATGTTGATGCCTCCAATTCTGATTCTGATTCTGATCCTGAAATAGAACCTGACATGGAGATCTCTGAGATGATTGATCCCACAATTCATATTCAAGGACAACAGTCAAAAGAAGTTCCTTCAAGAATTCTAAATGATGTTTTTCATGTTATGGATAGAATAAATCAAACAATTTCAAAGAGACATACACTTAGCAAGCAATTTGCTAGAGCATTCAATAATACTATGTTTATCCAGGACAAGAGAGATAAACTAGAGGTCATAGCATATTTGGAGAAGAATGGAACCACTTTTGCTGCCAAAAGAAAATCTGACCCTGAATGGCTTTGGAAGAGAATCAGGCGTTACATCCCTGAGAAAAACATTCTCTATCAAGTCATAAAAGAATTGTTTGACTGCTGGGGATCGGTAGTTTGCACAGTTACAAAACAGCCACTATTCAGTGAGGAGTCTTGGAAAAAAGCAAGAGGCATCCTCCATGATATACAGAAGGGTTGGGTCTCAGATCCACCAAATATATCTTTGTATGTTCATCTTGGAACAGATAAACATGGGTTGAACAAATATTGAACCCTAAGGGGGACAAATGATGTTGAGGGTTTTCATAAACATATAAGAACAAACTTTGCATCTCTCAATGCTTCACCAGTACTGGCAGATTGTCTCTTGGCTGATTTTTGACACAGATACAATACAGAAATGGGGGCAATCAATGGGGAGGGCAAGAAATATCTGGGACACTATGATCCCTGGCTTGACCATCAAAAATCTGGACTGCAAGCAAAAATCAAATGGAAGAAACATCCAAAGCTTGGGCAGCTTTTCAATGAATCAGATCCTCTTAGCTTTGCACAAACACATGAGCAATTTGGCATCACACGCATTCCAGATGTGCTTCGAATCAAATGTAATTTTGATGGACAGGTTGTTCATGACCCCAGAACTACTTCAGAAGAACAATTATGCATTTCAAGCATTTACCCTGTTAAATTACATCTGGCCTCTTTGAAAGGAAAGAGGACAAATATCTATGAATATTTGGCAGCTGCTCAAAGAACAAAATTTGCTGTTGTCCCCATGCATACAACACAAGAATTTCAACTATTCAATGCCTCTGTATCCCTCCATGGTGACTGGTTCTCACCTGCTCAGGATCCTGATTTTGAAGCTATGGCTGCCTGGTGGTCAGGAAAGGCTGATGGCAAGACAATTTTCTATAAAATGCATGAGCATCTTGAAAATCATTACAAGAAATGGACTGGAAAAAAGAGGGAAAATGAAAACATGATGAATAGCTCAAATAAAAGAAAGAAAAATCAGGAGAGAATCCAGGCACCAACCTATGCTGCAGAGGTTCTTGAACCACTCATATATTTCCATAATGACAGCATGGAGAATCAGCCTCAACAACAGCCCTTGGCAAAGAAAGCTAGAAGAAAAATAAATACATCTACACTTTCAGCCACAGCTATTGCATCAACTTCCTCAGCATCCATGTCATCAGGCATGGTTATAAATCTTGAACAAACACCTCCAATACTACAGCCAAAGCAACCTTTAGCAGAGAATTTCTCCTATTTTTCTGGCCAAAATGTACAAAGTAAATTCTTACAGTGGGAAGCACCACTGGAATCATCCAGTTCCACTTCAAGAAAAAGGAGGTGCATGGTCTGCTTTGATTCTGGAAGAGAGGATACAATGCATACATGTGCAGGGAGAGGTGGAAGGGCAAAATGTCAATTCTCATGAAATATTTCCCAGTTTATTAATTTGGATTATATGCATACTTTCTGGTGTTTATAAATTACAGAGTGGCAGTCTTAGACTCTTGGTGCATAAATATGTAAATAGGAGAGTAAGAAGAAGCTGGAGCAAATATATTTTTGAGAAAAAAAGTTGCAGCCTACAGTAATTGAACTTGTGACCTCAACAATGAAATACCAGTCTAGATCCAACATTTCCATTGAGCTAAGCTATCATTTTAAATAACAGAATTTATAGTGCACAAGGTACCGAGTTTTTGAATTTTTGATTCTTTTTGAAATTGGTTCCAGACATGGCACCATGGCCTGCATATGTCCTGATCTGTGTGGCATTTACAGACGTTTCCTGGGCGTGACACCCTGGAGTCAATGTTGGGCACATAGGTGGTTGGCATGGCGCCGGTGCGGGCAGGGTCAGTTGACAACTTCGATGAGCGTGGAGAACCACATCAGGAAAAAAGGTACTTACAATATTGTGATATGTTGACGTGATAGTGCTGGTAGCACCATCGAGAGCCCCCCTATATATTGTTCTCCATAGCTGACCCTCTAAAATCCATAGCACATGATAGTTCTATAGATTTAGCCGTAGCTGTGTAGCCAGGGAGTTTCATAGTACATTGTAGCAAATATATACAGGGTAGAGGAGGTAGAGGAAATATTAGGACACTTCTGAATCGGTTGAGAATGCAGCAAATGATTTATATTCGAAATTCTAGTCACAATACATACATGTGTGTACTACCTCATTCGTTGTCTACCACATCCTCCCCTGCTCCTTCGAATGCACGCCTCACTGGTTGGTGTGTGTGTGAGAGCCATGGTACAGGATGGGGTGCACTGCATTGGTAGAATTTCAGGTGAAGAGTTGCTGCGCTGCGGGGTGAAACACTGTCGTGGAAGAGGTCAAGAGGGAGTTCGGCCGCTGACAAGGTCAGCGTCATCTGAAAGGGTGGAATGTGTGTGTGTACCTCTCAACTGAGTCCGACCAAGTCAACCAACAAGGTTTCCTGTGCATAGGAGGGGAACAGGGTAGGAGTTTGTTGGGTCCCGCCTTTGGATGGCGGGCGGCGCGTGTTTGGCGGCCGATGATAGATGACGTGGGTAAACAATTGCCGTCTGATCCATCACAGGTCTTGCTGCCAGGTAGCTTAGGTAACCTATTTCGAAGATGAGGAGTTTGTCGCATAGAGAAAATGTTGACATACTAATGGCATAGCAGTGCAGAAGTACGCTAGGAGATGGTGGAGTCAATAGTCATTTTAGGGAATGGAGTGCGAGCGGGAATGTACCTCCTGACCAACAACACATGCTACCCAGCATTTCATCCGAGCAGTTCATAATGGGGACGTCAGGCAAAGAGCGATGAAGGGACAAAAGGAGAGAAGATGGTCGTCAGAAGAAAAAGGGGAATGATTGCCAAACCAAAGTTCAACCAACATCATGTGACATCGGGTTGCCATCCGATTCGGATTCTGGCTCCGATGATTTCAAATTTCATTGAAGTTCCATCGACTAGTCAACGCTCAGTGCTACATTGGTGCTACATAATGAAGTAAATGCATAGCATAAGTACTTAAGTACTCAGTACTTCGTACGAAGATATTCCATGTTGAATATGACAATTTGTGGTTTCAATCATTGAGTGAGAAGGAGGACAGTCATAGCATATGTGATATGATGCGAGTACCAGCATTTCTTCAAATGCCAATCGATACTGACTTGATAGTCATGGTAGCACTCATAGTGTTCTTGGGATTCTTCATAGGGTGCACCAAGCCTCAGAGCTGATCCGCAAATCTACCTTTCACCATGCACCTCGTCCCTTTCGCAATGGACTCGATCACGCACTCTAGATCCACCCGCCAAGGATACAGAACACAATTCCGGCAATGGGAACTATATCTGGCTATGATTTTGATGTGGTAACTATGGGAGAAAACACCTTTTCCTGATGCACAGAAGGTTGTCACTGTCATTGGTAAACGACGTTTGGAGGTGACGGCTGCAAATAACCAATGGTTCCTTCTAAGAAAAACATAGGAGGGTGGGAAGAACATACTGTATTTGGGGGGGTAAAGGGAGGGGGGGTTGAGCACTCGGGCCTTAATTCTTCTTGCGATTGAAGATGCCTGATGAAGATTTGAGCGAGTTATTCGAGGACCCCTGAAAATACCCTTGGAACCCAGATCCAAAAAGTCGAAATTTTTGGAATTTTTATCCGGACAGTTTTGGACAATTTCTATCCGGATGGCAGATCTGGGTCCAGGTATGGGCAAATTTTATCTAGACACAAATCTGGGTTACCCAAAACCTCTATTTTCGCTTTTTTCCCTTGAAAACACCAAATTTTCGCTTAAAAACACCTTAAAACGCCAATTTCTCGCTCGGTGTCCCCTCTGGAGCCCTAATAGGCATCCTACAAGCATCTCAGATAACAAAACACTAAAATACACGAAATCGTGCCCATTTTGTGGCCCCTCTGAGGGAAATGCAAATATCGATGGTGTAAGATGGTCAAAGTGGATAACTAATGGTATGTTGACTTGGTGTAATGGTTAAAACTTAGTTGATGACCTTCACATTCAGTACGTCTTGAGTTCGGATCCCCACCTCCATCAATTTTTATCCGGAAGTGGCTCTGGGTTTGGTGGGTCAGCCCAATTTCTATCCGGAAATCTGCCTCTGGGTTCCAGCCAAAATGGCCCAAATTCTATCCGGACAGTGCTATGGGTGTTCAAAAAAATTTCAGAATTTTTATCCGGATTGGGATCTGGGTTCCAAGGGTATTTTCAGGGGTCCTGTTATTTGGGGTGACCGAATGACCCCAGGTGTCCGACGTAAGGGACAGGCCAAGGGGGGAGCGGGATTTGAATTTGCCATATGGTGCCGGTTAGTTAGTCTGGCCGCCAGACTGTTAAATTTTTTTTATTTTAAGTACCAATTTTGGGTAATTTACGGACCAGATGAGCTTAGATTAGACTGGTGCACTCTCTGACGTGTTTGACAAGCTCCTCACTTACCCGTTTCATTGTCCTTCCAATGATGGAGACACGCTTGACACGAACGTCACAGTTGTTCCAGCTGTCGTCGTGCAAGAGGTCAGGCTACCTGCAGACGAGATGCTTGATGTGACTGATGCAGTTGTTTCAGCCGTCGTCGCACAAAAAGTTGGCCTACGTGCAGATGAGCTAGAAGCCATCAACACAGGAACCGACAGTAGGAATGGGCATGGAACTCACAGATTTGCTACAGATCTCAACATACCCAGTGCCCACTGCCTCTGCAAACTCCGACCTGGGAAGCCTACAAGAAGGTTTGAGGAACACCAGTAAACGAAAGCTTGTGAGAGAGTGTGATTGCGGCGAGAGTATAGACAAAGTTGAGGCCGACGACGAAAGCAGAATAATTATCTGCAGACGAAAAGGCTGTGAGACATTGTGGGTAAGTCATTTCTTTTCGTGTCATTTTCTGCCTGATACTCACCACTAACTATGCAGTACCATCTTCCGTGCATTGGACTGGATCGTGGTATCAACGACTGGGTTTGTGACCCATGCAAGAGTGTAGAAAAAAGCAGAGGAAGGGGCGGCAAACAAAGGCGCACAGTGTAAGCAGCTGACACAACGCCCAAACGATGCCCAAAACATGGTACCTATTTATAGACTTTACCTACAGTCATCCACTGGCTAATGAGACACCGAAATTGGAAAATTAACTTCGGCAAATTTGAGCACAACCTTTCACTACAAAAACTACATGAAAATCTGAGATAAATACCCTTTTATAACTGTGCCAAGTTTCAGAATGTTTGAACAACCTTTCGTGAAGAAAAACTAATATTATGGGTGTCTCAATGAGAGGTGTGACTGTATTTCGGCTACTTCTGAAAAACAGTCCATTTTGAAAACTCCACAGCATTGTCAATATTGCCTTGACTGCATCCAAAATTTGTAGACTGGTAGATATGAGCTTTTACTACATGTTAAAATTTATTTTGTAAAAATTGGTGTAGTATTGAGTGAGATATTAGGTAGGCAAAAGTGTCTCAAATGATGGTGGTGTCTCATTGGCTGGTGGATGACTGTATATATGGTAATTTATTCGCACACTGGTTAGTTAGTCCCGCCATAGTGGCCTTACGAAAAAAATCAGCATGATATATTAAATTAAAATTGTGTACCCCCCTTGGGACAGGCTTAGTAGATTTACTTATCCGACAATCGTGCGATCCGATAGCACCTCTTGCAATTGGTTTCTTTCTTTGCCTTCATCTTTGTTCCATCATCAGGTACGTATAGATACATACCTACTACTCGTCCATTATACGACTTCGTCATTAGCCATTGTCTGTGCCGCATTGTGAACCACCAGTCAACTTGAACACCTCACAAAAACTTCACAAAATCCAAACAATTTACATCGCTCTCGTATGGTTGTCCCTTGAATAAATTTTACTATGATTAACGCGATCGAAATAGCGAAATAATGGGCCAAATATGCTCAAGCGAAAGCTTTGTCGAGCCACTCGAGACACTCACTGCTGATCAGCTAACAGCTTCGTTGACGCTAGTTGGCACCTATTTATCGAAGAAACGAACGACTTTTACGCTTGTCACTGTGGGGGGGGCTATAAACACCCTTTATCTTCGATCACGGTCAACTACCCACGATGTGGACTTCTTCTCTCGCACTCTCACTTATGAGGAAATTGAACTGCTCAGAAAAGCAACTGCTGAGGCGAGCATCAAGTTGGGCGCCCCCGAACGATGGCTCAACAATCAGACGTCCGTTTTCCTCCAGCACGACGTACGCTTACGTCTTGTGCAGGAAGCAGCCGATGCCAACGAGGTTATATTCTCCAGTGGAGGATTGATTATCCTTGCCGCACCGTGGCGTTATTCTCTGTGCAGCAAGCTGGATCGCATCCATGCAGCGAATACTGACCCTACCAAATACAGGACGTATGATATGTCGGATGCCGTCGCATACCTCCGTCGCCTAACAGAGAAAAATAATGGAGCCATTGAGTGCTCACAGATAGAAGGGTGGTTAGAGGAGTTTGGGTTTGCAGGTTCTGATATAATCCCATCGTTGAAGGAGGAATTCATGAAGGTGTATGGATCAGAAGGCGTAACGGGGTAATGGTAGAGAGAGGAAGGAGTAGATTGAGGATGTGAACCGCGAGATCATGTCATAGCAAACAGATTGTAGATTGAATGTCAGGGTACTAGCCTATTTCAGCTACGGCTCTTGTGGCCTATCAGAATGAAAGCGTGAGAAAACGACCCAGTGGCAGCGGCCTGAATTTTTGAAGGGGTAGGGTGCCAAAATGCATGCCATTCAGAGGGGGATTGAAGTTGTCTTTCCAGATACGGTTCACCTGCGCAGCATGCATTGCATCTTTATTATTCAAAAAAGGTGTAGATAAACGCACTGCTCATACTGCGTTACAGCTGAGAGTGGATGCGCTTTCCAGGTTCACGATAACATGGCCTTGCATGGCGTACTTTTTTTTCCCACTCCCCGTTCTGCCCCCATTTCACCACGCAACCACCGAGCGGATGCAACGGGGTCAACGCGGCGATCAAGCGACCGAAAACGCGTGCTATATGACCCCCCCGCAGCGGGTGGAAGAACGCCCTCGGGACAAACGTGGTACGGGTTTGGGGTTCCCCATGAGAGCCCCCAGACATTTGGGATGGTGGGGTGCGAAACGAAGGCGGGAGATGCGACTCACGATGTCCCAACATCCCATACATAGTTCACAAATAAATTTCGATGATGAAGCCTGCTGCGTGTGAGGTATGAGGGAAGGCTGGGATGTGGCAGATAACGAAGACACACCTCGCCAACTCTATTCGCCCAAAATGGTCAGGACATTCTGACATTCCTTCACCACAAGTTTGGCTGTCGCCCATGCGTAAATCCGACATCAGTCCGCTCATCCTGTATTTGTAGGTAGCTTCATCCATGACCTTTGGATGTTCAAATTTAGCGACAGAAATGGGCTTCTGTCACGTGAGGGTAAGATATAAGTGGGATACACTGGAGATGAAAAAGGTGGCACGCACGATCCTGCAGTTCCTGGTGGCCGAGCATGGTTTTCAAACACAGAGTTAGAAGCAACAAAAGTAGGGCTCGTATCGTATTAATGTGGAGAGGGAACGCTCTATGCCATTCATCGTTGGCGAATCGGCGATATCCTTCTTCAAGTTTGATGCTGTCAAGCAGGAGTTAGCAAAGACAGATGTTATTGCCAAGTTATTGCAGGATAGCACCATCATGTTGTATGTCATTAGATCTGTAGAGTCATAGCGAAATCAATTGTTCAGGTGCTCAAAAAAATGGGCCACGGCAAGAGAATGAGACCTCTCACAAAATCAAGCGGATTCCCTGGGCTCAGAGTACCCACTGTCAATCATGAGGTGGAGAATGCCTGGTCCAGCTGAGTGCATTCCTTGTGCTCGGAGGTCCCGTGACAAATCTGACGTCCAACATCGCCGGATCTGACACCTCTTGGTATGTGCTGTCAGTTCAAGGTAGCTAGCTCTTCCCTGTTTCAAGACAACCGGAGCCAAAAAAGGGGATTGGTTAACAAGTCCAACCATGTCCATAGAGCTGAACTCTATCTACAAATATAGAGCCATTGACATGTACTTCATTTCAACCGATATAGATTGCATTTTTCGTAGAACTTCCTGAATAGCAACGACCGCCGTGGCTGTCATCGGCATTGCAGCCAGCTTCGAGCAGACCTGGCATGATACATATGAGGGTAAGGGAGGCGATAACGTAGATGGAAAAACAAACCTTTCGATATCTTGAAGTTGTGGACGGCTCGAACTTGGATTAATTCTTCTATGATTTCTCGTAAGTCGCAACAAGAAGCGGCAGGGCTTGTTCGAGAAGACAACGCGGAATCCAGACCAACACCTTCCCAGGCAAGACCTCCCCTTTCTTCGGGACAGATGTCTTGCAGGTTCGAAGACCCCGAAGGCTGGAGCGTGTTTACACAGAGAGGTTACCTGTTTGCACTTCGACAAATATCCAGCTAGCTTTTTCTTCCCACCTTTCTGCCTCCGCAATGGTACCTGAGAGGTGTGCAGCGGGTGCAGTGGCGATGCCAATGTTAGAGTTCTAACACAAAAAATCAGTAGAGATAGATGCGAAGAGACTTCAACATACTTACCTCGACCAGCCCATATAGAGCCGTCCCAGGCCAAACATGTTCCTGAAACAGGACATGACTCCTTCCAAAGTACCCCAGGTGAACAACCCCCTACACAGGGCAGCAAGTTTCCCGAGATCCAACTCACGTGGCACCCACCCAACCGTTTAGGCGGATTCTGACCAGCGGTCCACGACGTGACATGTTCAGCATAAAGCATAAGAGTTTGAAGGTGTCAGGGGTACTGCTGGACAGAATGCTGTAGCGTCGGGAAAGGTGGCCAGCGTCATTGTACTGAAGAGTCATGTGCAATCGGTGGCGCCATTTCTCGAGAAAGTTTTCTAGCTCGAGTGGTGTGCAGGTGCGTGCAGCGTGAAGCACATCGTCTCCCATACCAGCGCGGGAAAGGGACAGTGCTGTTCCCATACCGAAACCTCGCAGTCCAACCTAGATGACATCAGTAACAGATGGGAAAAGATATGAAAAGAATTTACCACGCAATCATAGTTACCTCCACAAAGAGTTGCAAGCAACAAAATACCGGCTGTGAGGGATAGGGCCGACCGGATGGCGTCGGCAGTGTATATCTTCACATCGTCCCCATCTTCTTTGACATTAGGACTAAATATCGGTCATGAAGGCATGCAGAGCATCCGCATCACCGGTTAGGACCGCATCAATGATTCCACGAGAGTTGAGTGCCGCCAACTCTGCTTCTGCCTCAGCCGGGGCCTGGAGGTGTGTTCAATATGGTAGAGAGGTAGATAGGCACCGTACTCACGATATGGAAGTCATAACCACAGCTCATAATCATATCCTGGAATGACCTGGCCAGAGCGTGAGCCTTTGTGCAAACCTTAATGCCTCGCTTGATCGACGGGCGGCCCTCTCCGTCGAAGACAATTACAAGGTGGATAGGCAGCTTACGGAAGCGCGCGATGCGATAAAAAATCACGCGGGCCTCTGTCGATGTGTTGTTCATGATGGGGGCCCAGTGATTAGGGGGGGATTGCAGAGTTTGCGCCATCAGATTGGCAGAAAATGGGGGAGAGGTACAAGTGGACTGGTATGGAGATGACGCAGGATCTGTGGCGTCGAGAAAGTCTGCGTGGGACAGCATGGGAGGCAGTGCGCAGATAAAATGAGCGAGAGACACGAGTATGAAGATGATGCAGCGTGTGTGATGTCGCGAAGCGTTGATGCAAGGCCAGGGTCGACGTAGATTGCTGTGGGGGGCAAGTGGGGGGGAGGCGAGAGTGGTGCCTGTGAATTTTTGAGTATGGGTGCGGTGTGGTGCATGGCGAGGAGGGAGTAGTCGTCGTTAGTATGATCGTGTTTGGCCGGAAAAAACGAATTTCTTCGTCAGAGTTCGTGAAGTTGGTCTGGTTTGGGGCAGCCCCAAACGTAGGCGGACAGCGGCGAGGGTGATTCTCTCGCAGGAGCCGAGATGGGCTACTGAGGTTCCGTGGTTGGTGGGGATCGGTCAATCAAATTTTCAGAGTGGTAAATGTTGTCGTGGGGCAGTCGTAACCCAACGAAACCCAACAAGGACGAATAAGAGATGGAAGCATCACCGCGTCGGGCATGTTCTAGAAAGAAGAGAGTAGCAAAAGTGAGCAGGCGCGTGAGGAATCTGAAAGTGGGCAAAAGTGGATGGCGTGGATAGTCATTTGGCATAGTTTATTTATGTACCTCCAAAAGGCATAATAAGGCTATATGTGCACCACCTCAGGATCGTTCAGCCCCGCGTCTCTATTTCCAGCTTGAATGGATGCATTAACAAGCAACGTGGTGTCGCGATATTCCAGTGTTGAATCGCGCCGAGAAAGAAGCGGTATAGCGGACAGCATTCCAGAGCGAAGGTTCTTTATCGACCAACCAGACACCTTTTGTACAGGATCCCACCTAAGAGTCCGAACCCCTCTACCAGCGTGCACATGTCCAAAGACATGCAACACTGGCCTGATGTCCTGCAACCTCTCGAATAATGCTACGCATCCTACATGCTGGGATCCTACAATGTCCATATGGCCATGTGGCGGCCCATGGGTAACAAGGATGTCGACGTGGTGAGAAATAGATGCCCAAACATTACGAGCACGAGCAGGGAGTAATTTTGGCTGTGGATATTGAAAGGCCCAGTTTCCGTATTCCGGAGTGAATGGTGACCCGAAAACCGTCAAAGTTCTTCCACGTATAGTTATTTGAGTACCCGAATGTTCGAGATAGGTTATCCCTGATGCTGCCCAGTCGATTTCGCAATGGTCCAGTAGCTCTCTACTGCAGAAGGCTTTGTCAAGAGCTTTATCATGGTTACCCGCAACGACTATCTTGACCGGATGGGGCAAGGAGGCGATCCAACTGACAGCGGAGCGCGCCTCGTCTGCTGTGCCACTCTGGGTTAAATCGCCAGCATGAATCAAGACGTCTCCTGCAGGTACTATAGGGGTTGCATTGTGTGTATCAGAAATGCAGACCACACAGATAGTGGAAGTGATGGGGGATGTAGGGGTACACGAAGCCATGCAACTCGGACCAACAAACGCTGGCCACCTGGAAGCATAAGGCTGTAACAAAACCAAACATTATTGACGCACGTCTTTTCTTCTTCGTACGATGTTCGAGGCTTACCTACGCGCCATCGGGCTTTGGTGGCTGCATCTCACTAATCGCCAGCCGAACCTGCCACCCTCTGTGGATGAACTGCTCGCTGAACCTTCTTCCGTTCGCAGGCGCCACCCACGTCGCTATCATCCTTCGCTGCGAAACAATAACTTCCCTGACACTGCGCTCGCTTCCTTATATCGACTCTACGAATTCTACATAATAGACGACACAATATCCTTTCGCAATGAGATTGAATGGTTTTGGCACCGTCACGATTGGCAGGTCCATGCAATACCCGATCCATCAGATACCGATCCTTTGAGATACGCACTACTCGGCGGCCTCACTGAGATTCTGTGTCAGTCTTTCAATCGGCTCATAAATCTGGGACTTCCACGGGATTCCCCTCCCATCGTGGAGGACTTCGCTGCTCTAGCCGCCCGTCCAAAAGTACTTGAATGCCCGCCCGAGTGGTTGGCCAACATACAGCCTCTGCCAGAACCAGTCTTTGTGCCAAATGGCAAAGGCGAGAGGGTGGCAGCAGAGGATAGCTCGCTCGTGTTTAGGAAATGGAATATCTTTATTGAACATCCTCATAGCTATTTCGTTTGGTGAGCACATCCCATCTTTCTGAGTTTGAGTTGAATTACTGATGCCTCGCGGCCACATCCACAGATCAATAACTTTATTCTGTTCTCCAGGGGGCTCCCATCGGCGCATCCCGTGAACGCAACTACACCTCTGACATGTACCAATTCCCTCCTTGATTAAAAATCCACCCATGGGTGCACCAAGTTGCTGGCAGGGCATAGTAATGTGATATTCACATCAAACGAACGTTAACGAGAACCAATACAGCTCTCAGCTAGCTTTTAGAAGTTCCTCCGCAGTCCGCACCCTCTGTACCCGCTATCCTCTCCAACCTGAACCAATCGTACTTGCAGTACAACACCCGGCAAGTCACATCCGACGCCTCCACCCCCTCATCAAAAAAGGGATACGATAGATACTCTGTGAAGTACTGCGGGTGGTCGGGGGGTCCATAGAATATGACATTGCGGATTCCTCGGATTTTGTAGCTATCGCAAAGTCAAAGTTAGTGGTGATAATAAGGAATGGGGGTGGGATGAGACAGACCGTTTGTAAAACTGGAAACGCTCGCTGACGAGGAGAAATGATTTTGAGACTTTGAAAAAGGCTTGGCGGGCTTTTGAGATATCTTCGTTTGTCGACCCAAACTGAGGACCTTCTGTGTACAGGACATGTGTCTGGGCTGAAATGATGTTAGACAGATGCGATAACCAACTACGCCATCGACCCATGATTGCGAACCGTCCAGTTGCATTATTACCCTCAGAGGGGCGAGGACTATGGTGTGGAACTTACAACAGCCGACTTGAGGAGAAAACGAGCCGTTGAACTGTGGATATGGTTGTAGTTGCGATTCTAAATGTCGCGACTTTGGTGTAACTCAATCTAAGTATCCTTTGCCCTACCACCGTCTCGTATCCATGGCTCGCACTTGTCCTGTTCGGATTCATCGGTATGGCCCTGGGAGCATGGTCACTGTGAGCTGGTCGAGTCAGCCGCGAAATGTTCGACCGATGTTCTTTGGGAGACACAGCAGCCAGCGACTATTGCCCTTCCAGGTTTCGGATGGTTACGTTAAATGGTTTTATGAATTGACAGTCCGGTCAACCCACATAAATACATACGTAGATACGTCGTATCTGGCGTATGAAATCATGGGTGAAACCCGTAAAGGTCTGATCTTCTGAAAAAGTGTCACTATACAGACGTCAGAAATAGCGTTGAGTGAGAATACGTGGTCACTCAACCGAGGAATTGATTTGCGATTGCAGAGAAACAATCCCGGGATAGAGATGCACGTCGAGTATCAAAAGGTGAAATCTTGTCCAGTCACTGGCTTTGGGGGGTTCCCTTTCTCTATCTTCCACACAGGCAACTGACTCTTCTGTTCTGGGATGTCGTCGGGCTCCATGTCCCCCTCTTCATGATCCTGAGATGGTGTCTGTCCTGACGCCGTCAATCTCGGCCGAACACCGAGATTTGAACATAGAATCTTGTATTTGGATCGAATTTGGCGCAGGAGTTTTGAGATGTCCACATCGGATGCCGCATCAGCAGCAGATGGGTTGATGGTCGGGAATTGGGAGATGAGCTCGAGGAGATTATGAATGTGTGGTATTGAACGGCTAAACTTATGTCAGGCTAAGGTTTGAAAAAAATGAGAAGACGAACTGGTCTTGTTTTGATTGTTTTTCATGTATGGCTCTCCAAGTCAACGCAAAACCTTCGTAATACCCGAGCTCTTCCCACATTTCGAATCCTTTCTCTCTGCCCAGGGCCCGGCCTTCAATCAAGCCGTGGATACGACCATGCTCAAAGCCATCTTGGAAGCCGGAATCATAGAAACTAAAGATGATTACTGGCTCAGAATTTGATTTTGCAGAGAAGGCCCAAAGCAGACGTTTGTTCCACGTGGATAAGAGACTCGAGGTCAAAATCCTCGTCCATTGAAAATAAATCGGGTACCGCACAGTGAACGCACGTCGCAGGCAGTGGAGAGTCAGAGAGCCGCAATGCGCGATGATTGGCTGACACCTTGCAGACCAAACAACGCGACTCGGTTTCAGGCTTTTTGTCCATCTTACTCTGGGCCTTATGAGGGTCATGCTGGGACTTTCCTACAGTCAGCTCTCGTGGTCACAACTGATGCTCCGTTTATCTGACCATTCAGGGGCGAAACGGCTACAACCCAGCAATTCCATCGTCCGAGGCGACTGATAAAGCGCGCCGAGGTGCTGGCAGGGCATAGTACTGTGATATAAACATCAAACGGTAACGAGAACCGGTACAGCTCTCAGCTAGCTTTGAGAAGTTCCACCGCAGCCTCTGTACCCGCTATCCTCTCTAACCTGAACCAATCGTACTTGCAGTACAACATCCGGCAAGTCACATCCGACGCCTCCACCCCCTCGTCAAGGAAGGGATACGATAAATACTCCGTGAAGTACTGCGGGTGGTCTGGGGGTCCATAGAATATGACATTACGGATTCCTCGGATTTTATAGCTATCGCCAAGTCAAAAGTTAGTGGTGATGTAGTACGGAAAGGGGGTGGGACAGACCGTTTGTAAAAGTGGAAACGCTCGCTGACGAGGAGGAATGATTTTGAGCCTTTGAAAAAGGCTTGACGGGCTCTTGAGATGTCTTGATTTGTCGAGTACCTGTAAGATGTGAGTTGGTGATTTGACATGGGAAGGGGGTGAACGTACTCGGATAAGACGGTGAAGGGAACACCAGCATGTTTCCGGAAATAGTTGTGCACTCGGATGAAGTCGAAAGAGGAGGGAACGAAGATTACGGCGTTGGAACTCTGAACAGCTGATTTGAGGACAAAGGGTAGGAGCTGTCGTTGTGCTTCAGATATGTTCCCCAATGCAGGAGGAAGAGTCACGTACCTGTGTTGTGAAGTGGTTGAAGCGTTTGTCCGCTTCGTCAATAGGGTTTACGCAATCAAAATGAACGAAGGTCTACCGGACGGCTTGATGAGTGTTAATGATAAGATATGACAGAACATGGCTAACCTGGTCTATACCATCTGGAACCTCGATTGGGCTCCAGCGTTTCTCGGTCCTGATCTTCCCCGCAACGTTCTTGAGGTTCGCGTTATACAATGATCGCGTTTCTGGAGTTTCGAATGCGGATAGAAGTATCGATTGCCGCAGGTATGCCGCGCTGTCATGGTATGTGAGAAGAAGCCTGATCAATAGATTGAAGACACTCACTTTCCGTCAAGATACCATGGCTTTATCCTCGAGAAATCGGTATCGCGGGATTCCTTGGGTAGCTTGTTCATGTGTGACAATACAAACTAGGGACTTGTTAAATGTAATCAAGGGGATGAAAAGCAGAACGGACCTTGACGTGCTCCCAATTTTGCATCGTCAGCGCATCAAGTTGATCGACTATCAGGATTTCGATAGAACTCAGATAATCAGCATTCCTAGACGCGACACGTAAGTACTCCCGTCATGCACAAAGTAGCATAACTCACTTCTCCTTTTCAATTGACCTACGCAGGCCCAATGGACTCGCCATAATGATATCACAGCCATAGAACTCGCAAAACATCTTTACGCTCTTCCTTGTCATCTTGATTCCAACCCTGAAATTGTCGTCGATGTTTCCTTTGAACGTCTCGACGTGGTCAGAAGGGTATGTCCCAGGTTCAGCGGTCGCTAGCTTGTCAACAGCCCCTGCGGGGAGGCCGTACTCGGACAGGAATCTGGATTGGTTCTCAATTTGGTATGCGGGAGAGGGTGTGTGTGAGGTGAGTGCGTGGAACCAATTGAGCACAGATGACCGGAAGGGGAGGAGGAAGAGGACGGAAGGGCGAGTAAAACCTTGGTCTTGCACGTCTTCTGGAGGGGGAGCTTCTGGATTTGTTTTTGCTGCGTGTGAAAGGCGCTCGTTGTTTTTCAGGACGCGACGACGCTTCCTAGATATGGTTAAGGATGCAATAAAAGTCAAAAAGGGGAAATGTACTTGGTGACATGATTCAAAGCATGGAGTGCTATTGCCTCCCTCGTACACCTTCTCGATTCTAGCGGTGTTGAAGTAAGATAAAGATCTCTCCGCGATGAAAGGGTGGTAAGGAGATCATTTTGAAGCTCGGTCTGATCTTCGATTATTCGTTACACATGTCGAACTTTAGGGAAACCAGACTCACTCCTAGGCTGCTTCGCCTGTTTTGCGAGGAAGGGTGTTTTCAGTCTTTCCAGGATCTAAACAACATAAGCATGCATCCACATTTTTGGCTATATACTCACGTCGTTTCCTGTGGTTACAACTGGTGCGTCTGCTGTTGGAGGTAATGAGATTACTGCAGGCCCAAGCTTGCCAAGTTTGTCTCTTGAAGTTTTCCAATCATTTTGTTCGACGGAAGCTCTTGAAGACTCCGATAATACAGACGAAGAGGTCCCGAAATGTCGTTCGTACGCATCAGTAGCACCTGGGGTAAAAGATAGTATCACTAAGGTAATCAATCGTCTTCGGTGGGACACACCGTTGTCCCCATCGTCATTAGCCGCCACTTCCTCGTCTATCCCGGGTATCCCCCCCTCATCGACTAAAACTTCCCTCTCAGCCGTCACGTCTTCTTGCTCCGATGACTTTTCCGTTGGAGATTCTGTGGCAATGGAAACCGACTTGCGCTTGTTCAACTTTTCTGCCGGCACAAAATCATCATCTACTCTTTTCCTTTTTCCAATTTTTGTGGCCGAGATGTTCAGCAGTGTAAGGAGCTTTGTCGTTACAGAGTTTCCGTCGTCCATGGTCGTCAGTGGGCTAGAGAAAAAATCCTGAAGGTGTTGGACAACAAACCACAGCAACTAAGCACGTGAACGCGATTCACAGTGATCAAAGGCAAACGCGTCAAGTCGGAATGATTTTCAACGTCAATATCAAAGTCCAACATCATCTGCGACGACGGTCAAACGGCGCAGTTGACTCTTGAGGTGCTCCCTTTTGTGTGGACGTGGATTCTATGCGCTGACAATCTTTGTCATCTCCAGCCGCCAGCCGCGTTCCCTGCCGCGTTCTCAACTCAACTTTCACGACTTTCTAGCCACTTTCGACTCGAATGAGAGTACTTTGCGTTGCAGAGAAGCCATCCATTGCAAGGTCCATTACGGGAATTCTTTCTGGTGGACAATACTCAACGGTAATGAATATCTTGTTCTGTCATCTTCTCGGGTTTTTTTTCATGCCACCATAGCGTAACACAGGGAACAACTTTGTCAAGAACTACGACTTTGATTACCCACAAACTAATTCGACCTTTACCGTTACCTGTGTCTCGGGTCATCTGACGTCTCAGGACTTTGGAGAAGCACATCGGAAATGGAACTCATGTGATCCCTTTGCGCTATTCGACGCGCCTGTCGAGACCCTTATACCACCAGACAAGAAATCTATAGAGAGGAATCTACGAACAGAGGGCGGTCGTGCGGACACGTTAATGATATGGACGGATTGCGATCGGGAAGGAGAGCACATTGGGATGGAGATAGCTCGTGTGTGTCGAAAGGCGAAGCCGAATATCGTTGTGAAGCGTGCCAGATTCAGTGCTATTATAGCCCAGTATGCTGCTCTCTTCCTCCCAAGATTTGATTTGCTGATTGCCTCTAGACAAATCCACCATGCTGCCCAGCACCCCATAGAGTTGGATCGTGCCCAAGCCGAGGCCGTGGAAGCTCGAATCCTCCTTGACCTCAAGGTTGGTGCTGCTTTCACCCGCATGCAAACCCTCGCCCTGCAACGTCAGTTTGCGCAACTAGAGGGCGTTCTCTCCTACGGTAGGTAGCAGCGTCTCTTAGCCCTTCTTAACTTTGCTGCTTACTCTTGGTCGCGCGTAACAGGACCATGCCAATTTCCAACTCTAGGTTTCGTCGTCCAACGATACAACCGAGTCAAGGCATTCCGCCCAGAAACGTTCTGGTACATCTATCTCTCCCTAACACGAGATGGTGAGGAGACCAAGTTCACGTGGAAAGAAGGGCACCTATTCGATCAAGGTGGCGCAGCTCGCATCTACGAAATAGTGCTGCAAAATCCTAGGGCCAGGGTCATCCGCGTTACGAAGAAGGACACAAAGAAATGGTCAAGTGACGAACTTTTTGGGAGCTCAAAATCCTGACAAGCACCTCACCCTCTGTAGGAAGCCTCTACCCTTGACTACGGTCGAACTTCAAAAAGCTGGGTCGCGACTACTGAAGCTAGCTCCGAAGAAAGTCTTGGATGTGCGTTCATCACTTTCATCTTACTTGTGGACGATGCTGACAGAATGTTTTTGGTAGGTTGCAGAGAAGCTCTACCAACAAGGATTCGTCTCCTACCCTCGCACAGAAACTGACCAGTTTGATCCCCAATTTGACTTTATGACTCTCATTGGAAAGCAGACCGTTGATCCAGCATGGGGTGAATTCGCAAGAACGTATGTTTCTCAGCTCCACAGTTTTCACCATGGAATGATAATCAGCAATGCAGGTTACAGCAAAATGGTGGTTTCGGCGTTCCACGAAAAGGCAAGAACAACGATAAAGCCCATCCTCCCATCCACCCTACAGCGCACGCGGGTAACCTTGTCGGCGACGAAAAGAAGGTGTACGAGTATATCACCCGCCGGTTCCTAGCGTGCTGCTCGAAAGATGCCGAAGGATCTCAGACTACGGTCGAAGTCGTGTGTGGAGGAGAAGAGTTCACCGCAACAGGCATTTGATTCCATCTTTTTCCTCTAGCAGCCTGTTTTAAGCTTCTATCCCTTACCCCTAGGATTGATCGTACTACAACGGAATTATCTCGAGGTTTACCCATACGACAAATGGATTGGCCATACAGTTCCGAACTTTCAAGAGGGGGAAGAGTTCGATCCTTCAGTCTGTGAACTTCGAGAAGGCCAGACATCAAAGCCCAACTACTTGACGGAGGCGGACCTGGTTACCTTGATGGACAAGAATGGTATTGGTACGACAACTCCTGGCTGTGTTCTATTCTCCTTCAGGTGCTGACATCTTCTTACCTAGGGACGGATGCGACCATTGCCCAACATATCCAGACAATAGTTGACAGGGAATACGTCGTTGAGCGAATGGAAGGCGCCATTAAGTACCTAGTCCCTTCGACCCTAGGCATTGGTCTCATAGATGGCTACAACGAAATCGGTTTCGACAAGAGCGTTAGTAAACCCCAGCTCCGTCGTGAGGCAAGTCATTTTCTCGATTACTTTCCTTCACCAGATTAACGTTTCTGGTGCACCAGACCGAACGCAGGATGGTACAAGTTTGCGAACGGACAACGACCAAAAACGACATGTTGCAGACGAGTCTTGATCAGTACAAGCATATGTTCATCATTGCACGAAGGGAGTTCGACAAAGTAGCTACGGTGGGTCTTATAACTCATTCCCATTCAGCCTGGAAGCTTATGGTATCGCATAGAGTGTTGGGAGATACATTGGTGCAGGTGTTACTGGAGGGGCAGGAGGAGGTGGAAGAGGCGGTGGTGGTGGAGGAGGAGGAAGAGGCGGTGGTGGTGGTGGTGGTGGTGGTGGAAATGGGGGTCATGGTGGCAACGGCGCGGCAGGCCGAGGAAGAGGAGGTGCCGCTCCTGCACGCGGCAGAGGTGGCGGTCGTGGAGGCAGCTCTCGAGGTGCAGCTCCTCCTGCTCCTAACTCCGATTCTGAAGGTGAGAGCCTTTGGCATGATCTCACTTACTCATGCGTAAACTATGCAATTTCAGACTTTGGTTTCGATGATCCCCCTTATTTTGAAGATCCCCCTCCGCCCCCTCCGGCTCAGCCTCGATCTCGAGCTGCCCCGGTCTCATCTTCTGGTCAAGCAACATCTTCCACGAGATCACGACCTCCAGTATCATCTTCGACAGGTCAAACGCGGCCGGTCTCGTCATCAACAGTTAAACCATCGTCTTGGTCCTCACAGCAATCTACCAACGATGGCACCACAAGATGCAATTGCGGTATACCCGCCGTGCAAGATTCTGTCAAATCTGGGACGTCGCGGGGCAGGTTATACTGGCGCTGCAGTAAAACGGAATCTGAACGATGTGGCTTATTCGTTTATGTAACTGAGTCACCAGTGACAAGTGCGTCAGGAACACCATCGATACCAACAAAAAGACCATACTCCGCCGTAAGTGAATTATATTTCATTTCGAAGTCCAACTCCTCTGACGTTCACTCAGAGGCAAGATTCGACTTCCAACAATCATGGAGCGAATCAACCACGCATGTGCGATTGTAATGAACCAGCGGGTCAGAGAACGGTGACCAAAGCCACGCCAAACCAAGGGAGGAAATTCTGGAGATGCGAATCGGACCAGTGCAAATTCTACGAGTGGGACGATGAACCTTCGCCCTCCGTAAATCGTGGTGGAGCAGGTTCGCGGTCGGCAAATGCAGGCTCCAGCAGCTCAACAACCTCAAATACATGCTTCAAGGTATGTACACCTGATGTCATTCTTTTCCGTGCATCTGACTCTGTAATGAAAGTGTAATGAACCAGGGCATTGGGCGAATGGTCAATCAGATGTTACTCCATCTTTTGTAGTTTTAACTGTTTGTTCCCCCTACAGCATGTCCGAATGAAGGCGATGGTAGTACCAAGCGTGCTCGGAGTTTCGGAACCTCTGCAAACGAAACAGGCAAATCTATTGTTTGTTTCACCTGTCAAGAGCCCGGTCATTACAGCTCAGGTACGCGAAATGAGTCCATGTTTGACCATCCTCTTTCTTATTCTTGAATACCACAGCTTGTCCAAATGCTGCCGCCAGTGGAGGACCATCCAGATCAAAAAGTGGGCCTGCTGGTGGTGGTAGCAGTTCTGTGGCAGGCGAATGTTTCAACTGTGGCAAAACCGGTCATTGGAGCAAAGGTATGGAATAGATATCTTAATCTGAACAACCAGAGTTTAAATTTCTTTGAAGATTGTTCCCAAAGCGGCGGTGGTGGCCAAACGCGATCCTTTTCATCTAACAACCGCGGAAGCTCAAAGAGGGGCAGGGGACAGGGAGCGACCAGGTCTAAACGCGGCAGAGGGGCGAAGAAGAAGTCGAAATTTGAAGCTGCCGATGCGTACTGAGCTGACGGAATTACTCGATACCCTCTCTTGCCCTCGAACCCTGATGACACACTTGGGACCATCTCGTTGAAAAGGGATGTTGATGGACGCGTCATTGGAAGGTCTTCTCCCAGCGATGATGTGCGGCGAGAAATTCGGTGGCTGTGCTTAACTACACAATCCCGTTTGGACTCAAGCTGACCTTGTTCAAAGCAATTATCCATGTAGCTCTACCAGCTGAGTTATCTTGTACCCTTTACATACAGGTTGATATTCAAGCAGACAGATTCAGTTGATTTCCAGGACAGATTACTGAAGGTTATAAAGATCGGTGTACTGCACTCGATACATTGCATGTTAGGGGAGCGATCCTTATCCCTCTAATGATAACAGCAGCCACTGCCTTCGAGCTTAACCGCTGACGCTAGAGTTGCGCGTCTCGGACACTGAATGGGGCTAGACCCACAATCGTGACCCCTTCGGAAACCCCACCATGTGCATCGGGTGCTTTGCGCTTATTGTATCCTTGCACTAGCGTACTGGACACGATGATGTTTCAGCTGAACCGAAGAAAATATTGATCCCATCAGCCTCAGGTATTAATACGCTCAGGGAGGAACAAGACAATGAGAACTTCTCCGTTCTTCCCCCCTCCTCACACTTCCACGCATCTTCCACGACCTTCTCCGACCCTCCTTTCCTCTGGTTACGCCATGACCGAGTTGAACAAGAGCTCTTTTCAGCAAGAGAAGTCTACTTCGGATCATGCCCTCACACCTCATCATAGTGTTCATGCACTGGAGGTCGAAATCACTGAACAGGATCGGCAAAGGCTGTTAAGAAAGATCGACTTTCACATTTTGCCTTTCATTTCCCTCCTCTACTTGCTGTCTTTCTTGTGAGCGCGGCTTCTTTTGAACACCAAGCGCTGTGGAACACATAGACGATGCCAAGGCTGACTTGACTATCCGATATCAGGGACCGTGCCAACATAGGTATAGACCACTAAATCTCAACTGTCATTCCGAATCTAAGCACCCTTCTACGTGATTAGGCAATGCGAGAATTGCGGGGATGGCTGTCGATGCTAAATTGACGGGTTTGAGATATAATGTGGTATGCTTGCCATCTGGCTAAAAAAAATCATATCTTGATCGCCGAATTTCGAAGATCGCAGCTGTTTTTTTCGTATGATTTACTTTCAACATTTGCCCTCAGACTGCTTCAACTACAAAGGAAACTTAGATCCCATACGCTCTCTTTGAAGTCCCTTCGTACGGTGGTTGGGTTTTTTTTGTTTATCAAGCTCACCCAGCTTTTTTCCACAGAAATATCTGCTTAAAGCTTTTCCGACCTTCAATATGGAGTATGGTCTGTTTTCTTACATTCCGCTTTCGTCATTAGAATGAACATACAGTTCCATCAATCATGATTGCTTGGGGTACGCGTTTTCATAAAAAGTGCGCGTTCATCTCAATAACTCTTCATTTACTCCTAGGGTTGATTATGACGCTTATGTGCCTCTGCAACACTTATCACTCCCTAATTATGTACGTCCAATTACTGTGATAATTACCAGCGCCCCTCAACTTATTATTGTCGACAACAAGTGCTCGCATCTTCTTGGGATTGGCCGAAGCTGGCCTATTTCCAGGGGTAAGAGGTCTCTATTTATAGTATCGGTTTTGGACGCGACTGCTCCTAGATCACGTTTTATCTATCACTTTGGTACAAACGACGAGACGTCGCCAAAAGAATTGCAATATTTTTTTCTGCGGCCACTGTTGCTGGTGCGTCATCTGGACTCAGCAACAGTTCATTTGTTTTATTCCAACTGACATGACCCGCAACCACAGGGGCTTTCGGCGGTCTTCTCGCGTCAGTGAATAGTACCCTTAGCCATTTCGCTTGTGTATTAAAAGCATCTTTGGGCTCAGATATGGCATTGAAAGGATGGAGGGTATCGGAGGCCTTCATGGGTGGCAATGGATAGTGAGATCGTCTCTTTAACACCATTTCTCCGTTGCCGAGTTTGTAACTAATTTTTTCTTTCACAGTTCTGCCTTGAAGGAATCGGTGTGCCTAGTAATTTGCCTGATATTTATCACGCTTTCCTCATTAGAGCTGCCAGCCACCGTTCTCGTGGCCTTTGCCTCCTACTTCTTCATGCACGATGTATGCACCTCTACAATTGCTCTCCAATTGGTTGACGTATTTACATAGTTTCCGGAAACGGCGACGTTTCTGACTGATGAAGAAAGGGCGGTGATTGTTGCAATGCTGAAAGAAGATACCCAAGGTCTGGCAACAGATTACAAGTCAAAATTTGTATGGCAAGCTATTTCCGATTATAAAACCTATATTCAGATAGGAATATACATGGGTGAGTAGTTTTCGACTATTTCCTGTTTTATGATGACAGACGTCTGCAGGGTTGCTAATACCGGTCTATGCAATCTCTCTCTTCACGCCCACTATCATAAATAAACTTGGTCAGCATCAATTCATTTTCTATCCTTCTATCTAGTAATTTGTTCTAGGCTTCTCTTCCGCCAACGCCCAACTCTTAACCATCCCTCCATTCGCTGCAGGCTGTATCGCAACTATTGCAGGTCGGTGCAAAACATCCAAATCTCTAATCCGCTAACAAGTTTCTCAAGTCGGGATTTATTCTGATAAGCTTAATCTGCGGGGACCCTTTGTCATCGCTGGCGCCTTGGTATCGCTTATCGGATACATTGTTTTGTACACTCAATCCGCACCCGGAGTATCATACTTCGGTGCCATTTTGGCGGCAGTCGGCGTCTTCCCCACAATCGCTGTGGATCTCGCATGGGCAGGCTCAGCCGCGGGTGGAGATACGTGTAAAGGTAAACAACAGGGGCTGAAAGAATAAATGGGCGCTGAACTTGGAATAGGCGTTGTTCTCGCACTTGTGATTGGACTTGGTAACCTTGGAGGGTAGGTTGCCGCTCCGCAGATTCGCCAACGAAAATTCACACATTATTCCGTAGAATTTGCTCATCTTTCATTTATATCACCCCCCCTCGCTTCCATATCGGTCACGGCACCATCATGGGTTGGCTATCACTCTCGTAAGCTGGTCCATTTCCCTGGCATATAATCTAATTTTAAGCAAGTTTCCATATAGCGTCTTGTTGAGCTTTTTTGCAATGTGGGATTACAACAGATTGAACAAGAGAAATATCGCTATTTGCCAACGCGATGGAATTGACGACAAGCAACAGGAGAATTACAGGGATGTAGGTAACGATAGCCCGCTATTTAGGTACGTGGTAGTTTTTCTATGGTGACCATGCCCAAACTGATCAACTGCTACGACAAGATTCACCCTGTGATGAACCCTAAGGTTTCGGAGTACTGCTATTTACGATTTTGCTTATCGCCTATTCTGCACACTTTTTTATGGATGACCTTTACGTTTCACGTCTCGAAATTCATTCCTATAAGGTCCTCTCCATTTATTTGAATCTTCATGCCTCCCGACGACAAGATACGCAAACGCGCAATGAGGTCACTTGGATACTCCCCCCACTCTGTTACATGCAGACTCACAGACTCCAATGGGAGAACTTCACCGTATGAATAAGTGAAAGCGGCACGTCGAGACTCCAAAACATCCGCCAACTTTTCAAATTCACTTTCGGTTTCCTTCTCAAGGTCACAAGCAAGACGAAGGTGGCCGAGACGTGGTAGATTATTGGAGCCTTTCAATCTGCCGTCGGAAACAAGTGCACCTAAGAAATCTAAGCCCAACGGTGATGTGTTGAGCGCGTCAATCTCCAAGTAACGCAGAGAACCTAATGAAACAATGATTGCGACCAAACCGCTTTCACTGAAGGGAACATGGACAAGTTTGAGGCGGTCGATGGAACAATTTGAACGCTGGATAACACTAAAAAGCGCCCTGTCGATGTCGGGGATAAATTCAAATTCGCTGGGTTTTAGAGGCTGAGGGCCATGAATCTCAAGGACGTCGAGGGTGGGGAAGGTAGTCGAATCCAATAATCGAGCCAATGAATGAAGTGAGAAATTCTCTTCCGATCTGAGGGTGAAACTCTGGAGGTGCTCTGCAACAAATACTCCAGGCGGATGCATAGGGTCCCGCGAGTCTGCGCGCCTCACAGTGAACTCGCATGAGGTCAAGTTCGGGGCGGCTTTCATTAGTTGAAGGCAATCATACGGGCTTAGTTTTTGAGCAGATAGATGGCCGATTTGCGACCATGGGAGCCTCAATGTCGCTGGCATAGGCCACGAGATAAACTCCAAGGTACGGAGGGACGGTGCATCTTCGAATGTGACAAACGCTGGGTCATATTCACTTCCAGCAAAATGATCTTCTTCAGATTCATTGTGTGAAAGAGCCAATGTGGTAAGCCAAGGAATGTTTCCCTGGACCACTGAAGGCATGCTTCTTAACGTGGTCACCAGGGTGAGCTTGATGTTCAAAGTCTTCCACCGAGCCGAGTGAGCGACAAGCCTTTGCAAAATTTTGTCAGCAGGGTACAACTCCGTGCCGGAAATGGATATCTTCAGTGGAACTTGGCCCGATCTCCGGAGATACGTTTCGACGGCGGCGAGTTGGCGAGCTTGTCGAGATGCACCGCGCGTCGCTCGCGCGGTGCGCACAAGGATGACATTGATTGTTGACCAAACTGTAGGTGACGACTGGGCAGCATCTCGCCATTGGTGGCAGACCAACATAAATTTGAGGAGGTCGTCGCAACAAGAGGTGCTAGAATGCCAGGTGTCGACAATCGCCCAAACAAAGATCGTGGCCAAGACTTCGAGTGGCAAATCACGAATTGGGGAAGGTGCGGGGGGTAGAATCTGCATAGTTTCGGTTTCTAAAATTTTGCGCCTCCTAGAGGCCATGATTCCGCGAGGGCGATGGCGAGTCGCGTCTGTCGAGGTTGAACGGAATGTCCATTGTTGTGTGACTCGTACTAAGATAGGTATTACATAATAACGGCTGAGCGGTCCTTCTTCCTTTTTCTATCGTACCAAAGTCCCAATTCACTCGCTTTTGCTCGCTAGATGCCCGGATCTGCGACCTTTCTTTCACCCCAGCACCGGACTCTGGCTCTTTGACGTCTTTATTTGCGGGCATCCTTCTGGCTTTTTTCGTCTCACGCGGCGAGCAATTGAATCTGAAGGAATCAGGCGACTGAGGTTTGAAATGGCTTGAGGGTAGGAAATTTGGTCATGGCCCAGGAACGCTAACTCATCACATTTTTTGAGGATGGCGTACCGATACGCCACATGATTGTCTCGCGGTAAGCTGCATCTTAAAGACGTCATTTTGATTTCATAAGGAACGAAAGAACGAAAAATGGATTATTGCAAGCATCTTGAATAATGCGTATGCTAATCAGAGCTCGTCGCGGGGTCCTTTGGGGTCCAAGCCCACAAGTTCCACGGTGAACACCAACGCGGAGTTGGCTGGAATAACGTTTCCAAACCCACGGGAACCTGTGATTGATATTATAAACACTGTTTTTCGAACGGAGACGGGAAACACAAACCGTACGCCATATCTGACGGGATGGTGAGTGTACGCTTCTCGTGAAGGCACATTCCTTGGAGCCCCTTGTCCCACCCGCTGATAACCTGGCCGACGCCGACTGGGTGAGGATGTTAGATTGTGTGGGTCGAAAGCAGAACAACAGACTTACGAGTTAGAGGCAAAGGTGAACCTCGGTCGAGACTGCGCGCTTCGCATCAACACTGTCTAAAGAGACGTGTCGAAAGCAACTAACCTAGAATCGAATTTCTTTCCATTCGCGTGTAAAGTTCCGGTCTAAGTATGGCGTTATAATCAAGTCAGTATACAGCGGTTGAGGATAACGACTGAGGATATACGCACATAGTGCACCTTAATAGCATCGCCCTTTTGTGCCTTCGTTGGGCACTCTGCTGGCATATAGGTCGTGTCAATTTTGAGCTCCATAACTGGGGCTTTCTCGTCGGCGAGGACAACAGTCCCGGCGACGAGAATGTAGGATAGCCAGCTGATGATATGCATTGTTGGCGATGATGGTGGGTGGTCGTGGAGTGAACTGCAATGAGACGCGTGAGCCAAATCGGGATGTAGACGTGTCGGTCTGGTCTTGGTCTAGTCGGTTCCCAGAGCCCAGACCCCAGTCCCAGTCTTTTTACCATTTTAGTAAACAGTCAACAACAACTGTACAGTCATCCGCCACCACCGCAACCTTATTTTGTACGCTCACGACAGAAACTCATCCATCAAGTCCCCGCCGTCGACGACAATGGTGAGTAGTGACATTGTTACCCGACCATGGCCAGATACTGACCGTATATTGAATATGTAGCCTTCCCAAAAGACTTTCCGCACAAAACGAATTCTCGCAAAGGCTGGGAGGCAAAACAGGTGCGTCGACAACAATGCTGAGCTAGAGCGCAGGTAGCTGATCGAGTATGAAATCGATGTATAGGCCCATCCCCCAGTGGTTCCGTCTTAAGTCGGACACCAAAATCCAAGTGCGTCTCTTGTCTTTCTATGCGTATCACAGTACTAATATTTGAGTGTTAGTACAACGCCAAGCGCCGTCACTGGCGCAGGACCAAGCTGAACATCTAGAGAAGTGCTCGGCTTTGGGACTATTTCAATTTCTGGTTGCTGTATTACCACGCAGGCCGACAGAGGAGAGGCCGAGGTGCCATTTATGGACACACCCATGTTCTTCTCATTTTGAGCTATGCCACACACATCCATCCATGAACATGACGATTTCCTCACCAAGCATGGCTACTAAGAACGGTTTTGATGTTCGCTACCTGTTCTGTGCGTTGATATTGTTGCTCCATCAACCCCACGATATCAGCTTCCTGCTGGCCACCTCTGTGGGCTCACAAGAGTTTGGACGCATCTGAAGCTTTGTCCACAGCATAAGCGTGAATTATTACTGTACACAGGATCTACTCCCGAAAGAAAATATCTCAAGGGTCGGCGTTGGGCTGCGTCTCATCAGGGATGACCTCCCCTGACATCGTTTCCTCCCCGGTGCGCACGACAGTCATCTGATTGCCTGCAAATCGTGCGAAGGCCATCGGTCGAGATATGCCGCGCATCGTGCCCAATGAATCTCCTAGCCAAAGCTCGGCGCGAAGGTTCATTGCAAGTTGATAAATAGGTCAGAAATAGATTTCAAGATACCAAAAGATTTACTTACCCCAACGCACGCGAACACAGCTCCCGGTCTATGTGCAGGTATACTTTTAGCAAAAGCACGGGGCCGGAGGAGCGAGATTTACGTGATTAAAGCAGGAGGGGTCCAAGCCTTTCCATATTCCCAGTAAATTAAATCGACAAGAAGGATGCCTGTAATGCAAGCGGTCAAACACAAATCTGCAAGGGCTAGAAGACCTCTTTACAAAAGGCGCCGATGAAGTAAACGATGGAATCGCGCGCCAGGACTGCAACCCTGTCAAAAGTTTTTCTTAAGTTAATAGCGTCTCTTTTGACACGATTGGCAACATTCACGTTCGATTCGTTGTCCCAAATGTAGCAGCTTTGTATATGGTCGTCACCGTAAGGATGGCTGACGGTGTTTTAGTAGCATCATCCGCGCTATAAATCGGATCAAGGCTCACTTTCCAACAGCATCGGGAGCAGCCTTGGAAGTGGAAGGTAATGTCAGAAACCGTACGGTGTATACAACCCCCACTAAACGTACCAGGTCAGATACATATTGCGCGGCACGTAATACAGACATCCTGGTATCAGGCTACCTCCAGAGTAACCTAGCATACAATTTATTTACTTTTCTTACAACGACCAGAAGTGCGACTCACCTATCGTCCGCAAGATGGCGATAAGCGAAAACGTTGCCCAACAGACATGTGCAACTGAGATAAATCAATATATGTACCAGGAGTTATGGCTCCTTACTTAAGAATGCTGCGACAAGAGAGAAACGAGCCAATTTCTACGAATTGAATTTCAGCGAGCTGCTTGGGCGAGTAGTATCAGATCCTACCTTATCGTCCCGACCTTGTCCCGACCTGTATAAAATCTATGAAAGATAAAGCCAACGGTGAAGCGGAAGAACGTACAGAATACAAGCACTCGGAGGAAAAGCACAACTTGGACGGTGACCATTGCCACAACATTCGGCCTTATCAGGGTTTCTTGTAAATGAGTCAGAGAGTCAAAAGACGGGAAAACGTTACAGAGCTATCCATTTTTTAACCTTGCATCTAGACGGACTGCGGCTCAACAAAAATTACGAGCAGATAGCTTTCTGACTTACAGCTGTAATATTAGAGAAACCAAAATTGGGCGAAGTTGAATTAAGCCGCTGGAAAATAAAATAAAAAAGACACACACCAGGGCTTAAATTGGGCATCGCTTGAGCTGGAGACCATTGAATGCTCCCGTACGCGGCAAGAAGAAATGCTTAGGTACGCACAAACCACATCAATGCTATGGTGCACAATAATGAGCACTTAGCTGTCCCAATTCATTGAATCGAACTTACAAGACAAAGACTGGCACGACATAACGGTTGCTGAAAAAAAGGATCTTGGGAACGCCCCATCGGAGTCTTCACGCGTTGAGTTATAGGGGAATGGAACCATGAATGGATGCTCAACGTACGTCCAGATCCTCGAAACCTGGAACACGTACTATAGATGAGAACGAAATTCGAAGAAATCTCAACACTTACTTCCATATCCAACGTCAGAAGGTAGTCATATAAAAGCAGAGCCTGAGAGTATGATTCAGACGTCGGTTCCACGAAAGCGTAAAAGCATCCTCACTAGCAAGCCCACTGCAAAACGGCGGTTTAGATAGATTAGAGGTGAGCAGGGTATATGATGAAAGCTCACTATCGCAGTATTTGAAAGACTGGATGATTGTCCTGGATTCCAGTGCTATATTTTCCAAAGGGATCATTAGGGAAGAACCAAGGGGTCTGCGTGGGTCTCAATGAAAGAACATTTGCCGTTACATGTCGACTAGGTAGCAGTGTCAGTGGCCCCAGGTTTTGAAGATCATTATGGGTTGCACGTCATGGCGATTATATTTGGATCATCGAAGATCTCAAGACATGTCGTCAAATATCTGCCATAAACCGTAGCAGCAAAGGCACCTTCTCTCTGCAACATGTTCACCTGGAGGGAATTATTAGACTGGCAGTAAGCCAGTGAAACTAACTGGGGAGCCTTCCGAGGCAAGCTTGATGATGACTTGCCTGTGGCGTGACCTTGTAAAAGGATAGTGAAATTGTGGGAGGTAAGCTGGGAATGCGCAACCTTTCTGGACGAATTGGCAACCGTGGGGTGCGGCGATGACGCTATGTTACATAGAGGTACTGTTCCTGAGGGAAGCTGAGCAGATCCAATTTTAGCTCTCCATAAGAAGCGTAGCTCACTCACAGTGCTTTTCCAGGCCATGGTGCCATGTCTGGAACCAATTTTAAAAAGAATCAAAAATCAAAAACTCCATACCTTGTGCACCATAAATTAAATGCTTTGAAAGGTTGACTTAGCTCAACGGAAAGATTTGACCGAGACTAGTGATTTAGGCTGAGGTCTCCAGTTCAATTACTGCAGGCTGAATTTTATTTTTTCAAAAAAATATTTGCTCTCACTTCTTCTTACTCTCCTAGTTGCATATTTATGCACCAAAAATCTCACACTAAGACTTAGAAATTTATAAATACCAGAAAGTATGCATATAATCCAAATCAATAGATTGGGAAAGAATTTATGAGAATTGACATTTTCTCCTTCCACCTCTTCCTGGACATGCATACATTCTATCCTCTCTTGCAGAATCAAAGCAGACCATACGCCTCCTTTTTCTTGGAGTAGAACTGAATGATTCTAGTAGTGCTTTCCATTGTAAAAATTTATTTTGTGCATTTTGACCAAAAGAAATAGGAGAAATTCTCTGCTTTTTTTGCTGGGTGTAATATTGGAGGTTTTACTCAGCATTCATAATCATGCCTGAGAACATGGATGCCAAGGAAATTAATGCAACAGCTGTGGCTGAAAGTGCAGATGTATTTACTTTTCTCCAAGCTTTCTTTTCCAAGGGCTGTTAGTGATATTAATTCCCTATGCTCTCATTATAGATGTATGAAATAGTTCAAGAACTCTTGGTGTCTGAATCCTCTCCTAAATTTTCCTCCTTTTATTTATTCATTTTCTCACTTTTTTCAGTTGATTTGTTGTAAAAAATTCAAAGTGCTTATGCATTTTATAGAAATTTTTCTTACAGTACTAGTTGGCCTTTCCTGATAACCAGGGAGCCATGGCCTCAAAATTAGGATCCTGAGTAGGTGAGAACCAGAGGGATACAGATGTTTCTTCCACTAGATTTTTGTATGTCACAATCTGACATCTCCTGCCTACTGCCCTTCCTTATCATGAGTACCCCTACAACGGCCTATTTTTGTAGTGCTACTTTGCATGTTGGACAATGGAAATCGGTGCAGTAACGGGCAAAGTACATGTTGAAGGTGCAGAATTAGTATTAGTAATTGTGTGACTCAAGCAAGATGTCACATGCCAAAGATGCCTAATTCATTCACAATATGCTGGATATAGACATAAATTCTGAAATGGAAAGTAGGGTCTGATGGAACTACCGCTTTCAGAATTATGTCCAAATCAGGCATCTTTTTGGTTCCAGACATGGCACCATGGCCCTTTTCCATCACATCTATGTGAAAATTCTGCAGCTTTGGTTATGTTGACAGATGATGTCAGACACCGACACTGCTTGGTCATCGCCTCGACTTCCTTACATTTCCCCACTCTGATCATTGTAATGGCAGGTTCCAAGGGTAAGGAGGCATTTTGTAGGCCTCTGTGCCAACTCAAACTCCACCAGGAATAGTGTTTGGAAGTCCGGTCTCGTGACTGGAAAAAGACCGTAACCAGACCGGACCAAGACCGCAAAAGACCGGACCTGCGGTTACGGTCTTTTATTTTTGAAATGTAAAGACCGCAAAAAGACCGGTTAACGTGAACCGGTCTTGACCGGTTTGGACCGGTTTTTTGTAGCCCCTTAAATACCCTTTAAAACGCACCCAAGAACGTACGATTTGGTAAAAAAACGAGAGAGATATGAATTAAAATGTAAATTACTTTTGGGAATAATAGATGTACCAGACTTATTTTATAGAAGCACCAATACCTAACGGAATTTAACGTTCTTGGGCTCGTTTTGAAGCTATTAGAGATGTTAATAAATTTACCGATTCATAATTTTAAAATATTGGCCTAAAGACCGGTCATAAACCGGTTAAAACTGATGCAGACCGAAACCGGTCTATAGACCGCAAAAAACCGTGGTCTGCGGTCTTTTTGCGGTCCGGTCTGGTCTTTTGACTTCTGGGGAAAAGGCAGACCGGTTACGGTTACGGTTAACGCCCCTTGGCATCAAAAAACCGGACCGAACCGGACTTTCAAACACTAACCAGGAAAAGGCTCAGCTTCACTGAGCCTTTTCCCCTTGAGCTCTGCTCACCAATCATGGGCCTTGACACTGATCCCTGACTCAGTGCCAAAGTTTGGCAGATGCTGGGTTAGGAGCAGTCATCAGTGTTGTTTCCCTCTCCTGTGCTGGCTCTCTCTCAGACCACGTCTATCCAGCACAGGTAAGTGCTCTGCACTCTCTATCTCTATGTGCTGCATACTCACCCAAATGAACAGTGATTCTCCACCCTAGGCTTTGCCTATCATTTATTCATAAACACACTTCTAATTACTCTTTATTTGGTGAGGCGTTCATCCTATTGAGCATCATTCACTTTCTTTCATTCCCTCTGGTCCAGACTTCGTTTGCCAGATTGTAAGAAGTATTGAAAGATCTCCTCCAGCTCAATACTCATGTATCATGCCTCTCACAGATTCTCTTCAGATTTCTTTGGCTAACTGCTTGCTTCCCTTGCCATCCAACCTCCTTTCTTTAAGTAACACCTCACCATTTGACCTCTTCATCCAACATCTCCTTCTCAATGACCAATGTTAGCATTGAAGCAACTTGGAAGTGTGCTCAGGCCCTTGAGGTTATCATCTATGATGTCATTGAAGGACAGTGGCCCCTTTCGGATTTTGCAAAACATCTCCAAGATGCAGGTACATCTCCAGCCAAGGGTGAGGACTACCTACAACAGCTTACCCAACGTCTGGAGCAGCAAAAGAAGGACAGAGAGGCTGAGGAACAGCCAGACACCCAGTCTGGGGAACAAGCAGTCCGAGAATCCACTCCTGAAGGCCTTGATGAAGCCCAGGCAGTTGAGTTTCATGCTTGGCGTGAAGTGCTCCTTGAGGAGGTATGCATCCGAGAAGCAGCTGATCATTGTACAGCAGTTGACACCACTGCATGGGCCATTCTCAATGCCAAGGTCTCTCATTTGGCAAGCTCACAAGTCTCCAATGACACTACAACTCTTCTCTCAATGGACAGTCTCACTAAACTACTTGGGGTTGAACATTCAACTTCCCAGTCCTTACCTGCCACTGTTCTTGCTCTTGCCCTGCATCTGGCTGAACTCTCAACATCTACCATATCTGATCCCTACATTGAGGAGACTTGGAAACTTTGGCAGGAGATTGGAACAGACAAGACCATTGACTCTCTTGTCAACCTTATGCAGGTACAACCACTTGCAGATCCCATCCCTCACTCTATCTGGTGTCTGGTCATCAAAGATTACTTTGTCAACTTTAAAAAGCATTCTGCTTTGATGGACAAAGGGTATGACCACAACAACGAACCTCTTGACTTCAGTGGAGATTATGCACTTGTCAAGAAGGAGCAAGCCTCAGCCAAGCACCCTCTTTGATCTGAGTCTTCAGGGCTTGGAGCTCAGCTGTCATGCTGGTTTATTGCCACCGCTCTTTGGAGCTTCAAGGGTATCAGCGTAGGGTCACTGATTTATTTTGTGCTGTGCCTCATGACCTGTCAATCACCATCACTTTTGATGTCGAAGCTTGTGATCACTATGTGAAGAGTCCTTTCCACATGGACAATCAGACTCAGCTCAATGTGCCACTTTTGGCGCGTATGTTTCAAGGTTCTAGCCCATCTTCCAAGAAGCACAGTAACCCAGTGGCTTCGTCAAGCTCTCCCTTGAAGCATTTGTCAATTCCTTGCCAAAATTGGAACATGGGCATCTGCAAAGCCCCTTGCCTGAATGGGCGCAGGCATGGCATTTGCTGCAAGTGTGAAGGCCAACACTGAGCAAAGGATGAACCTGTCTGCAACACTCTCCTCCAGGCTTGACAAAGAAAAGGAGTTGGTGGAAGCTACCCAGAGAGCAGCAAAGGCAAAGGAAGGGCCTAGGTCTATCAATTTGGGGTTGAAGTGAAAGCTGGATACCCCAGTCATAGATGTACAAGTACCCCACTTTTGACGATGTTATGTATGGTCTAATTCAACTAATAAACACCTATCCCCTGCTGCCCTTTACACTGAATCCACTTCCTCTCTTCCTTTGCCGCCCTTAGTGTTTGAAAGTCCGGTTCGGTCCAGTTTTTTGATGCCCAGGGGCATTAACCATAACCATAACTGGTCTGCCTTTTCCCCAGAAGTCAAAAGACCAGACCAGACTGCAAAAAGACTGGTTTCAGTCTGCATCAGTTTTAACTGGTTTATGATCGGTCTTTAGGCTAATATTTTAAAACTATGAATCAGTAAATTTATTAACATCTCTATTAGCTTCAAAACGAGCCAAAGAATGTCAAATTCCGTTAGGAATTGGTGCTTGTATAAAATAAGTCTGGTACATCTATTATTCCCAAAAGTAATTTACATTTTAATTCATATCTCTCTCGTTTTTTTACCAAATCGTACGTTCTTGGGTGCGTTTTAAAGGGTATTTAAGGGGTTACAAAAGACCGGTCCAAACTGGTCAAGACCGGTTCACGTTAACCGGTTTTTTTGCGGTCTTTACATCTCAAAAATAAAAGACTGTAACCACAGGTCCGGTCTTTTGCGGTCTTGGTCCGGTCTGGTTACAGTCTTTTTCCAGTCACAAGACCGGACTTCCAAACACTAGCTGCCCTCTCACCTCCTGCAAGATCCAAAAATACAAGCATCCCTCCTCACCATTCCCGACCACATTAAAGTTGAAAAACTTGAGTCCATGCTCACTGATCACCTGAATCAACCTTTTGTCCAATCAGTCATAGTGTTGCCGCGGCTCCGGCTCGGAGCCAGCTCAAGTCAGGAGCCAAGCCGAGTTTAGCCGAAGCCCAGCCAGAACCGCCGAGTGATGGCTCCCACAGCTCGGCTAGTTCCAGCTCCGGCTAAGAAGCCGGCTGAAGCTGACTAAGCTGGTCATAAATAGTGAGTGTTCAAGTTCGTTCGTTCAGTCATCTCAAGCCTCAAAGTCTTGCAATAAGATCAAGAATATATACCTTGCCATCAAGATATGTGTAAAACATACAAAAAAATCTCTCTAAGGCAGTTGTAATATATCTACGGTATATGTAGTTTATCGCCGACTGTCTCGGGTGACTACCAGTTCATTGGTGGCGATTTTGACATCAACCTTTCTCAAAAGCGTTGTTGATCTCAAAATCGAGCAGCCACAAAATTCTTCGCCAAACTCCTTAATTCTAAACTGCGGCCCCTTATGTGGACCGGTAAATGCGGTAACGACCTGGGATTTGCACTCCGGCCTTTCAGGTATAAGGTATGGAAATGGCACTTCCAACACTTTGAAGCCTAGCTGGACCTTGACCGCATCTCCGACCACTCCCTTGAACTCCCCACACTTATCTTTGTGCTCGCCCTTGTGAAAATTAGGTTTGGTGTTGATGAGACGAAGGCTGAGTCTCATGTTGGCGAAGCAGCCATCTCTGAGCCAATACGGAGAAGAGGCTGCCACAATTGTCAGTATCTATGAC